TTTTTTAGTAGAGACGGGGTTTCACCGTGTTAGCCAGGATGACTCGATCTCCTGACCTCGTGATCCGCCCGTCTCGGCCTCCCAAAGTGCTGGGATTACAGGCTTGAGCCACCGTGCCCGGCCAGCCTGTTCATTTTCTTAACGGTGTCTTTCAAAAGCAAAAATTTTCCTTTTGATGAAGTCCAATTTATCAAGCTTTTCTTTGATGGACTGTGCTGTGTTGCTGTATCTAAGAACACAGTATGGGTGGCCCTAATGTTCCGTAGCAGCTTGCCCCACATATGTCACCTTCCATCCTGAACCATATTCCTCAAACCTCTGTGTCAGAAACTGTCTCCAAGGGGAAAGAGAAAACCTGTAGTTTCTTTATCAACTCCTACCTCTTACCTTAACCATCCTTTTCCCCAGGAGCAGTGAGCCCTTCCCGGACCCAGGAGTAGGGTAGAGTCGGGCTGCGTTGGCCGAGGGGGTGGCACAGCACAGCGTTGAGGACATTTTCCATGCAGGCTTTCTCACTGGCTGGTTGTAAGACTTTGGGCACCTCTCTCAAACTCCGTATCTTCCTCTGCAGAGTAGAGGTGATAATGGGCCTACCTCCCAGGCTGCTGTAAAGATGAAAGGAGTTAGGGCAGAGAACATACTGAAGCCCCAACAGCTAGTAGTTGGGTCAGGTTAGTTGATATTACAAATCTTGGCTGCAGGCCCTAACTAATTCTCACCCCACTCTTGTCTTTCCAGACAGATATTGGGTTTATCTACCATTCTCCGGGTAGGTAACACTTATGGCAAATATGTATGTCTTCTGAGAAAAATCAGGCCAGGGGTCAGAATACCTTAAAATCCCCATACGTCCAACACATGGGTGGAGGGAAGTATTAGAGGTTGTAAATGATTTTCTGTATTTGATAATATTTTACTGTACATTGTGGTATTTTATTTTACCTTATGTTTTAATTTAATTTTATTTTTTGAGATGGAGTCTCGCTCTGTCACCCAGGCTGGAGTGCAGTGGCTCGATCTCGGCTCACTGCAACCTCTGCCTACTGGGTTCAAGCGATTCTCCTGCTTCAGCCTCCCAGGTAGCTGGGATTACAGGCATGCGCCACCACACCCAGCTAATTTTTTATTTTTAGTAGAGATGGGGTTTCACCACGTTGGCCAGGCTGATCTCGAACTCCTGACCTCAGGTGATCCACCCACTTCAGCCTCCCAAAGTGCTGGGATTACAGGCGTGAGTCACCACTCCTGGCCTGTTTTACTTTATAATAGTAGCATCTTTCTCCGAAAAACTCAGGGCATCCCTTTCGGTCAAGTGCTGACCTTTTATTACCATCCTGGGTTAGATTTCTATTTTTTTGAGGCTGGTATTGGGAGATTAAAGTTTGAGTGGAAGTTCCCACCCTACCTGGCTATAACATACACACCAGGTTGAGGAAAATGGTTGCCTCTACAGTGCCTGGTTCCAGACCAGGCCACAGTGAGAACAGTAGGTTCCCAAGGCATAAACAGGGGTCCCTGTTTCCTAGAGGCAACAGCTGGCAGCCTTGTGAGCACGCTATCATTGCTTCATGGTGCACGTGACTCCCCTTTTCCTCTGCCACTGGGTAGAACACAGGATGTCTGAGACGTATTTCCGCCTTCCCCTCCTCCTAAAACAAAGGCTGGTTTCAGGGGAGAGGGAAGGAGGCTGGAGGCAGATCTCCCATGGCCCCTCTGCCTCTCCAGGTCACACACTCCTAAGGAAATGGCTAGGCCTCTGCCAACCAAATAACCCCGGCAGTGGTGTGACAGGCTACCTGAAAGTCACCATCTGTGCCCTCGGTGTGGGAGACCAGGCCCTGGTGAGCTGCCCCTAATGCCCCAGGAACCTATCCTATCCTGGCTGCCTCCTGGGGGCACCCCTGAGCCTCACCCTGGGCGTTGACCATTAGATCGCTCCTTTGTCCACTGAGCCACTGTGGGGTCTCTCCTTTGTCTGCTGAGCCACTGTGGGGTCTCTCCTTTGTCCGCTGAGCCACTGTGGGGTCTCTCCTTTGTCCGCTGAGCCACTGTAGGGTTGTCCCATCCCCCTGCACCAAGTGGGAGGTTGGGGAAGCAAAGTCTGGAGTCCTTACCTGTGACCTCCACATGACCTTGACTATATCAGCTCTCTGGTCCCTCCAGATAGATCAAAAGCAGCTGTATGGGGCCGATGACACCGATATTCAGATCTTCAAGTCAGCGGTAGTCCCGATCAACATGGCTTACTTACAGTTCTTCATCTACTGCGCAGAGGACCTTCACCTCAGTGAGAGTCCGGGTGCAGGGGAGGGAGCAGCCCTGAGGTTCCCTACACGGTGGTACCCTGGATCCTCATGGAATTTCCTCATTCCTTTTGATACTAAACTACGGTTTGGGGTAGGGGGACAGGGTGAGACTGGAATGTCCTGAGACTTGTCCTGTGGAAGTGCCATGGACACCCTTTCAAATGGGCCTCACACCCCCGGCCTATGACGGCCAGATGCAGACTCAAGGGTCCCTATGTCCCCCCACCCCATGCCATTGTGTGGAAGAAGAAGGGGCGCGGTGGTAACTGGAGACAGGTCTGCCCGGGGGGCACCCCTCTAAATTATAGGGGAGGGTTTTCAGTTGTTCTGTCTCCACTCTATTCCCTCCCCCTGAAAAAATATGCTGCTGGCTCAGATGTCTTTTAACTTGTTGTTCATAGAGAACCAGCAGTCAGTGAATCCTCAGTTGGAGGTGGAACTAATTGGGGAAAAGGTAAGTGTAGAAATGTTCTGAGACCTAGAGAGACTGGCGCCTAGAGAAAGTAGTGTGGAGAGGAGGGTGGCCCGGTGGGCAAGACCACAGGAGTCATCTCCCAGTCACCCACTGAGAGAAGCATGCACCCCTGCACCTGGACCTCTGTGCAGGTGGAGGCCATGTCTTATTCTCTGCATGCCAGATGCCCCTCCAAAACCAAATACATGTAGAAGAATGAGTGCATGAGTGAAACATGCCAATGAGTGAACAACATTGAAAGTGTCACCATTCCTCAGTTTCTTCATGTGTAAACGAAGGTTCTGGGCGAGAGAGTTGCTGACATTCCGTGAACCTCTATGAATACAGAACAGCATTTTCCAAAGGGTGCTGTTGGGTGTCATGGGTGAAAAAGGGTCCTATGTTCAGATTCAGAGAATGCTAGGTTAAAGGTAAATAGATTTGTTTCCGTATTTGCCAAGCAAAATTTCTACCACATTCTATTTTTTGCAAGCAAGTCATTAAATCCAGCCCACACATAAGCAGAGAGAAAATAATGTCTATCTTTTGAAGGGAGGAGTACCAAAGAAATTGTGGACATATTTAAAACCACCATACTGAGTATGTCCCAGTGAGTGGTTGGGCACCTCCAAGGCTAGGTGAAACGTTCTCAGGTGGTAAGTGACACACAGTTTTCAAAAATTTTGATACTTCTGTGTTCATCTTGTGTACCTTAAAAGGTTTAATAAGGCCAAGTAACACTTGGTTTCACAGATACCACTGCTTAAAAATGAAGTCAACTGATGGTTTTGAAAGAGGCATGCTGCTGCCATTAGCTGTGTTTTTACCCATTTTTCTTTTGGAATCTTAGAATTTATCTAGCAAAATCTATGTGTATACACTCATATAGTAAGGTTAGTAGCCCTACAGCTGTTTAAAAATGAGGTCTATTGAAAGCTGACTTAAGGAAAAATATGAGGAATCTGAATCTGGCAAACACTTCGGATAAGTACACAAAGGACTGGTGCTGTTGCTACTGAGAAGTTGTGCAGGTGTCTTGAGAGCAGGGATGAGCCCGAGCACGTCTGTGTGCAGACAGTGGCCACCGGGGGCTGGACAGGAAGAGCTGGAAGGTGAGGCCAGTGGAGGGAGGAGGGGCAGGCTGGCACCAACACTGCTTTGGCACATTCCAGCTCAGGACGCACATGCAGACGCAAACCGACAACCCGATATGGAACCAGATCCTGACCTTCCAGATTCAGGTATGGCTCCTCCATCATGCCCGCTCTTCTCCTACATCCCCTAACATAGAAGGGAAGTTTGGATGGTTGTGTGCAGGTGAAGACAAGAGGGTGGGGGCCAAGAAGCATGGCAAGGGGGACTCTGCCTGATAGGGAGCATGAGGAAGCCCAGGACATACCATGGAAAACTTTACCTTTTACAGCTTTACTGAGTTATCACTGACATACCTATGTCAATGGTATGTATGACTTGTAGATATTTAAAAGTTACAATTTGGCCGGGCACGGTGGCTTACACCTGTAATCCTAGCACTTTGGGAGGCTGAGGTGGGCAGCTTACTTGAGCTCCAGAGTTTGAGACCAGCCTGGCCAACAGTGGCGAAACCCAACTCTACTAAAAAGATAAAAAGTAGTCAGGCGTGGTGACATGCGCCTGTAGTTCCAGCTACTCGGGAGGGTGACGCAGGAGAATTGCTAGAACCTGGGAGGTGGAAGTTGCAGTGAGCTGAGCCGAGGTGGTATCACCTACTTATCTGAGCAAACACCAGCTCAGTAGGTGATAACAGCCTGTTCCCCAAGCCGAGCCACTGCATTCCAGCCTGCACAACGGGGAGAGTCAGTCTCAGAAAAATATAAAAGAAGAAAGAAGGAAGGAAGTAGAAAGAAAGAAAGAATGAGTAGCTGGGACTATAGGTGCCTACCACCAAGCCCGGCTAATTTTCATACTTCTAGAAGAAAGAAAGAGAGAGAGAGAGAGAAAGAGAGAAAGAGAAGGAAGGAAGGAAGGAAGGAGAAAGGGAAGGAAAGGGAAGGGAGGGAAGGAAGGAAAAGAGAAAGAGAAAGAAAGGGAGGGAGGGAAGGAAGGAAGGAAGGAAGGAAGGAAGGAAGGAAATGTACAATTTGATACATTTTAAAATATGTACACATCCAGGAAACCCCCACCATTACAATCAACATGATGAATATATCTATAACCTCCAAAAGTTGCCTCATGCCCCTTGGGAATCCCTCCCTGTGATTCCCGTTCCACCCCCTCCCATCCCCAGGCAACCACCAATCTGCTTTCTGTTACTACGGATTAGCTTGCATTTCCTAGTGTTTCATAGAAATGGAATCGTTCAGTAAGTACGCTTATTTGTTTGACTTCTTTCACTCAGCATAATTATTCTGAAATTAATTCATGCTGTTGCTGTGTATCCGTGGTTCATTCTTTTTGTTGCTGAGTAATATTCTATTGTATGGATGTACCACAGTTTGCTTATCCCTTTCCTTGTTTATGATCGTTTCCAGTTTGCAGCTGTTACAGTGAATCTGTAAACACTTGTGTGCAACCCTTAGCATAGACATATGCTTTCATTTCTCTTAGGTAAATATGTAAATTCATAATCACTAGATTCAGAATGACTAGATTCTGGTAGATATATTAAGCAATGAGTGGGTCATACAACTGAACTTTCCAGAGAACTTAAATGTGCCCTTTCACCCACATATAAAAACAAAACAAATCCCTTTAAAGACCCATTTTAAATGATAATACACATTTTCTTATCTTCTCAGCAACTTGCCCTGAATATAATTAGAGCTTTTCATTGATGGCCTGGAGCCATTACAGGAACATAGTTATTATCCTGGGCTATCTGCAGTACTGGGCTACTTGTTCCTACACTAAATGGCTCCCAGACGCTTTCTTTGTGGGATTCTGTAGTCTGATTTTGATCACCTTTCAATCTGTCTCGTCACCTATCAGCTGTTGTGGATGACAGTTCTCTTGAAGGTGGAGCCTTACTGGCCTTTTGACTCTAAGTCAGGCTTCTAAGAGCTGTGTGTAAAATCAGAACACAGTTCTGAGAGAGAACTTGAGCTCTCTCATAGGTGCAGGCACATAGAAATTTGTGTGACACGGATTTGGCAACCCAGAGAGTGTTTTGCTTCCTCATATGTTGTGAAATACAAAATTAGCTAATGAGCTCTCCTTCTCCCTCCTGTGAACTCCCCTCCTTGATGCTTCTAGTAGTTACCCAGTCTGCCTTCTTGTGAGTCATCATTTTCAACCATTCCTCATAATCCCTGCCTCCTTGGATGATTTTATGGACTCTGAAAGTAGGAAGACATTTCAGAGGAGGCCTCGTCCGTCCGCCATCCTTGCCAAGCTCCCTCCCACCTTTTCCGGCCTGTGGTGAGGGCACAGGGCTGAGATCCTCAGATGCTCTGTGGCTGTTCAGAGCCTTGGGAAATCCTCTTTTTTCATCTTCTGTGTTCAT